CCACACACACTTGCAACCTTTCCCTTAGCTCCAGCAGTCACTTTCAAGTAATACCACATGTAGTACAGGATCAGCAGTATAACTAGATTTTAAGGGAAGGGTACTTCTGCAGTAAGATAGCCCAGCAAAATAAGTATACACATCACTTCAGTGGTGAAGGCTGCAAAAACAGTTTTATTCTAGGTAAAGGAGTCATCTTTTAATACATTTACTGGTCCATTCCATTAAGTTAATTGAGGTAAACAAAACAGAGCTTTTTAAAAAAATGTACACGCTAATAGAGAATTACAAACAATTTTACCTCAAAGTGTTTTTCTTGATCAATACTAGTTTCATAGTAAACAATGCACAAAGTATATTTATACAGAGAGATATGAAAGGGTATAGAAACATGCCAGCACCAGAAGACAACATTTCCTAGCCTGCGAGTCTGAAGAAAAGTACAGTTGCCAGATTTGGTCAAGCACAGGAAACAAAACCTTCCTTCCCATTTTTACACTGTTTACTAAGCTAATCCACACAGAGACAAGTCTTTTCACAGCTTCCATTTTGTTTTTCAATGGTATGAATGGTGACACTCTAGTTCCAATGAGTGGGTTTACACAGGCTGAAAGAGGGCCACAAGCCAGCACTGGTCATTGTGGTCTCCAGTATTGACACCTTCAGCAAGGAGGGGATGAGGTCCACCTCCTCCCCTCACAGCCATCTCACCTTCACCTGCATGGCCCAACTCTCCTAACCTTAAGGAGGAACAGAGGGATGCAGGCACAGAGGAAAAAGAGAACATGGACGGTGCTGCTTTATTTTCATGTACTAAAGACAAAAGCCCTTTGGCTGTTTGCTACTGTAAGACTGTCCCTCTGCAACCTATCTCCCTGTGCAGTGGGAATGTGGCACTGACTTCAACCCTGCTGCTTGATCTGAAGGAATGGATTTTTATCCCAGCAGCAGAATTTAAGGAAATGGTTTAGCTTCAAAGCATGGAGTACCAAGGCCTGCAAAGTAGTCTAGGAGAGTGATTAGCCTTTAATATTTTAGCATGCCACTTAGGTAGGGTGATCTACTTATGCCCTTTTGGAAAGTATTATTTTCTGCATAAGTACTGTGCCTTAGCCCTGCAACCTTAAAATTAGCCCGTTTCACTTGTACAAGTCAGATACTCCAGCAAGACTACAAAATGCTAAGCACAGTTTTAAATTTTGCTTTATTTCATACAGTTGGCTAAACAGCACTCCCAAAAAATGCTGCCTGTTAAAATGCAACACTCACACTGCCAGAAGGCAAATATATTCCTGTGATCCCCAGTTTTATGTTATATAAAAAAAAATAAATAAAATGTTGGTAAGTAGTAGAAACTCCCCTATCTTAAAAAGAAAAAAAAAAAAAAAGACTCCATTTTCCCTATTTACTGGTTGCTGTAGTTAAAGTTAATATGCCAAGGGAAAGACTGTTCTACCTTCAGAATTTAAGAAGGCTGAATGAGCTAATTTAATGTATGCGGTTTTGCTCAGTGGTTTTCAGCACCAGGTTTTTAAACAGTGCAACATTAATCATAAACAGGAAAATGGTGCAAGTTTTAACAAAAACACAGCTCCTGTTAAAACACTGAGCACTCCCTGGTAGACTGGGAAGGAATTCTTTCTTACCTTGCTATCTGCAGGACCAACACCTGAAGAAATATGCATCACAAACTGGCTGCACAGAGCCACTGCTGGAAGACTACCTCACAGTACCTCCACAGAACAGCCTCTGTCACATGAGCTTTGCAGATGCTTCTTCCCTACACGTATCCCACTACTCTATCCTTAGCACAAGTGCCAGTGTGACAAAAATCCAAGCAGACTTCAGGGAAGAATCCATAGTTTATTCTCTGCTACAAGTTACATTGGAAGAGTTTGTGTGTTTAGTGCTGCACCTATTACCTTTTCATTTTGCAAAGGATACCTGAAAAAGCTATGGTGTTTCAACACCTGTGTTTATTGCAAGAGTCAGAGCCTGATAAGGATACATATGAACAATGCACAGTTCATTACCAAGCATGAAAACAAGATCTCAGTGCCTGCTTCACTGTGCTGGTGACAGCTGAGATAAGAAACAAACGTCCTAGAAATTACACAGAAGTAACCAGGACAGGAGAGAATTAGGCATCCTCTGAGAGGGAACTTGGTCCGAATATGGATTACAAGTGAAACTGGGCTAATTTAAGGACTGTTGAATGACCCACATTACATAGACTCAGAGATAAGGTCCAACTACTTTTGACATAATTTTAGTGCATGTGTGCATGGTGACCTTAAGTCACCGCACACTTAAGAACTTACTCAAAGATGAAGCTCCTTCACTACACTCCTGCTTCCCTTTACCAATAACTTTTACTTTTCACATGCAAAGTTTGGGCCATCTAAAGGAGAGACACCTATCTGTAAGGATTACAGGATAACTTGAGTAAGTTTTGCTACCAGTTCAGATCTCAGCTTCCTACTAACAACAGGTTAAGTAAGTGCACTCTTTACAAGTGTCACTCTTTACATCTTACAGGAGTTTCCTGATATTTTGTAGTTCTTCCAGTCTGGCACTGCTGCCCCAAAACTCAGTCAGGATCCTCCCTACACAGCCCCTCCCAGTTACCTAGTGATCTACAACAGCTCTTTGTAAGAGTATCCTCTATAGCACATACAAGCCAAGACACCCACCACTACACTACAGCAATTCTTGCAAAGGACTCCTCTCTCAAATATTAAGTTCTACTTTCATTGTAGGGGCTTAACAAGCTTTGGTGTTACACATCATGTAAGAAATCCACATCAACCTGCAGGTACCACAGAGCTACATAATGCAACAGAGAAGTGCAAAGCGTGCCTGCCTTTCAACAGCTTAGCCAGAACAGGATTTATCTGAAATCAAAACATGCTTTGGATGATGAGGACTAGTTTCAAAACCATACTGCAGGATCAGTGGCATTGGATTACAAAAATTTAAGAGAATCTTCAACAGCTCCAGCCTCAGAAGTTACACATCAATTTAAGCTTCACTTGGTGCTCCCCACTGTCCATTATGTTTCTCATGAACAGCTATGATGTCACATATCATCACCACTGTTTCTACTCATCTTTCACTTTTTTTTAAAGGTGAGGGAAAGACTTGTCTAAATATTAGTTCAAATTACATTTTGCTTCATTCCCAGTGATGTTTCAGAATCAACTACAAAATTACATTTACCACAAAGGAACCAGCTCAAAAAGGCATGTTGATCTCTGTGGGAAATAGGGAAGACTGTAACCCTGAAGGTCAGACTGTTAAACAGTACAGAAGTGCTTATTTTAGAATAGGAAGATTGAGAAAAACACCTGGTTTTACTGCTTCAAGATGGTCCTTTTAAGCACTTCCTTGCACAAGAGTAGTTTGTCATTCTGGACCTAACGGCAACTTAAAGGAGAGTTCTCATTTACAGCAAGTAAGTGTATATTAACAAACTGTGAGCTTAAACCAGCAAGCATAGTTTAGTACTGCACAGTTGTCAATGAAGGCCAAGTCAAAAAGGATGACCTCTTAAAAATGTCTTAAACTTCACTTCTGCACCAACAGCATCTCATTAGCCTGAGAGCTACCACATTGCTGCAATACCTCATCTTGAGAGTTGCTATAAATCCAGCAAGCTGAGCAGGGGAACTTCAGCTTTACTTGGTGTTTATGAAGGGATAAAGTCCAAACAGACCAGTACCTGGTAGGTTGTCAGAAGAGAACACAGCAGTTGTACATACTCAACTACCACTATACTCTTCACAAGAATGGTACCAGAGATCTGCTTATCACTCCAGGCTAGTAGTAAGCACTCAAGAGTTATTTATTCCCCCCAAATCCAAGTATTACACTGATATTAGCCCCAAGCTGCCTCACTTAGGATGGTTAAAAAGGATTTATCTGCATGCTGTTAAACCAAGACTCTGGGACCCTGGGAATCATGGCAGCATTCCAAAGGTCATTAACAAAAAAGCAGGCATTTGCTTGAGGTTGGACTGCAAGAGAAAAAAAAAAAAAAGTAGGGACTTGCAGAAGCAGTTACATTTCTAAAGGTCAATAAAAACTACTAAGAAAATAGATCTGTACCAAAAGTAGTTTTAAAAGACTTGCCGTGTGGTTCAATAGACAGATATGAACACTGTGTGTATCTAATAGGTACCTATCTACCTCCACCAACCTGTTTAAGGCAAGTTTCACACACGGTGTGTGGAGAAAACAAGCATTTGACACTTTTTGGCTTCCGGGAGAAAAGAAAAAACAACAAACAAACAAAAACAAAGCAACCGCCAACCAAAAAAAAAACAACACCAAAAAACAACCAAAAAAAAAAGGCATGGGGAGAGAAGCAAAGTTTACCTTTACTATAGCAGGCACCTTAAGTGACCAAGCCCAAAGTGGCTCTACTTCAGGAAAAAAACAAAACAAAAAAGAAAAAATAAACACACAAAAAGCCTCCACACCCCAAAAGTTTAAAGCATGGGCCAAGAGAATTCTACCATGCAACCTCCAGTGCTAGCTTTAGAGAAAATACACTAAAGACTCATACTTTCTTCCACCATTGCTGTAAGCCTTGAAAGACAGCTGTTCAACTTGCTCCTGCAGCTAGGCTGGTTCTGATCCCCAAGTCCATCACAAGTACACTTCAGCCAACTGACATCACTTCATAAGCACCAAGATAAACAAAGATACTCAGAATGAACCAAGAGCATGCCACACTCACAAAAAAACACAGTTCATGCTTGCATCACCGGCTATCTGCAGGTGGTATCGGTATGTTCTGTCTTGGACCAGCCCAACTCCCATGCATTAAAGTCTCCAGAAACCTTTGGATCCAGCAGGAGCATATAGGTGGTAACAAAACAGAAAATACTCATTTCCAGCCTTTCCCTGTCCATCCAAAAAAAAAAAAAAGGGATAAGGACTGGTTTGGGAGTAGTGTATCACAGGAATAATTATTATGTTGTGGGTTTTTTATAAGCAAACAAAACAGTAGGGTAATAGAGACATCATTTGGCACCTTGCAGTAGTATTTTCATCTTTTCAGTGTTCCATTCATCAGTTCCTTCCAGACTAGAGAGGTAAGTTTTATCAAGATCCCCATGGGCTTTCACTGTGAACCCCCAATCACTCCATAGGATAAAGAAGGAACCATTCAAGATAACTTAAAAAGATGAAAAATACCCTAGTTTAAACAGAGAAAGTGAGGAAAAAAATTAAACTAATTTTCAAAGCATCTGTTCCAGCTTAAGTGCAGCTGGTGTTTCAGTTGACAAAAGGAGTCCTTCATACAGTTCCAGTATGTCTAGTGGTACTGAGTACAGAAGTGCTAGACTGTCCATGGAGGTGGTACTTATTTGGTCTCTGGCTTGTCTTGCAATAGTGGTATAACTGACTCCCACGCCATAAGGCACTGAAGAAAGAAACAGAGATTTAAAAAAATGGGTTATACATTAGTTCCTGTAACTTTTAACCAACCCTTCCAGACCAGTAGAATGAAAGTTCAAGAAAGGCTAGCTGGATCTTCATAGGTTAATTAACACAGAAGGAAAAGAGGTAAAACCAATCTCAAACAGCAAGAAAGCATTTAGAAAGAGCAGGTGCAGTTCCCAAATGAGGAAAACAAATCTGAGCTTTCCAAAGTCAACAGCATGCTCCAAGCCATTAAAAATCATCAGAATATCCACCATTTCCAAATACCAATCTATATTCTTTTAAACTGAAGAGCACCACAGCTTTCAGCTAGGCAGCCAAATTGTTTCTAGTAGAAATTCACATCTTTGTGGGAAGACAGAAAAGTTTGCAAAGCACATATGGAAGAAATCAATAGGCAAAAAGTTCAAGTATGTCACCATGCATAAGACTAGAAGGGTTTAATATATCAACCATTGCACTGGGCAGCACCAATCTAGCAGGAAGAAAAACTAGATTATCAACATATGCAGTCAAATGTCAAAGCCCTTTCACTTAAAATAGTCTGACACTGAATCTCAGGCACACATGCACCAACTGAAAAAGTGCAGAGGTGCCTGACTTTGTATTTCCAGCACTAACATACAAGGGACAAAACTATGCACAAAGGGACAGAGATTAGAACCATTTATGCATACTAGGTGTAATCTACAGATGGGTCTATGGATATACATTAACCCATGTAGTTTGGATCTAAAAGGCAGAATCAAGAGATTTCTAGTCTGATATTATTACTAGAATATGCAATTTTGGTCTTTTTTGTCACCACTACTGCTGCTCAGTAATTTGTTCAGTGCAAGAATGAAGGCACTCAAGATGAAATGCTGTTACAGGCCTGCCTTGCAGAAGACTGCTAGCTTCACACTTGAGCATGACAAGAAAGTCAGTAACTGGTTACAGTAAGCTGCCTACAAAAAGCAGCTTCCACAGAACTAGAGACTGATTTACATGTCCAAGATTCTTTTCTTCAAGACAGTGCAAAGATTTCCTGAAGTATTATCACCATCCTCTCAGAAGAATTTGAACTATTCTTAGTCCTTTGCCAATGCTAAGTGCCACGTACCTTCTCGTAGTACTGGATGTTTTTATCTGCCATCCCCATGAGTAGCTGCCTAAAGTCTTGTCTTTTGTTGTTCTGCCATCTCTCCATATCTGCTTTCAGATCAGCATTGAAACACTCTACTCGATCTTGACATTTCTCAACATCTGTGGGTACCTGCAGCAAAAAAAAAAAAATATTGAAACTGACATTGAGAATTCTAGACTGCTGAATTATCTCAAACCTCACTCAGCAAACCTACAGAGGAAAGGGTAAGTTAACAGTCCACAAGTTACCCTGAATAAAGTCAGTTATGACTGCAAGGAGAAAAGACCCAGTTCCGTATTAGTGAGACTAGATGTTTCTTCAGGAAGAAAACCTATAAGCACCTTTCTTGCCCTTCTCACTGTGCTGCATGGTCCACACAGACAGGAAGCCTGTAAGGACATGCAGACTAAGCCCATGGTCTCAGAAGAGGAAACCCCTGTAGTCTAACACCAATGTGAGGAGTGAACTTCTGCTCTAGAAGCTGTGACTTGCACAGAGGCAAAGGTAGAATGAAGAACATTTTGCAGATGTTTGTAGTGTACTACTACCTTGCATTTTGGCAAGGTACGCAATTTAGGCAGAAATGTATCAACTCTGGTTCTTCTCCAGATGTGGATTACAGCCGATCACTGAAGTACTGCGCTAACTCAGAGAAGGTCCTGCATCTCTTACACAGGAAGCACCTCCTTCGTATTCATGGGATTTGAGTACCACTTGATTCACACAACCACACTACAGGTAGCTTGGGGGTTCAGTAGCTACAGAATTCCCCTACCCTCTCTGAGCACTATACTTATGGCTACGGAATCCACTCTGCTGCAACTACAGATACAAAGCTCTCTCACAGGCTTCAGACAAGAACTATGAAGCCATTGGCTGGAACATTTAGAAGATGCATCTTTCAAGCCAAGCATGCCTTGCCTCAAATTTATAAGTACTCTGCTACCTTAATGGGAAAGGATAGACTATCAAAAGTCATGAAGTCTGGAAGCAAAACCACGCATGATTTCCCAACCCAGTTAAGTTAGTTTGCAAGTGTCCTGCTTCCTCTGCTAAGATCTGAAACCACAACAAAAATATTAAAAAAAAGAATTAAAAAAAATATCTTTCTCAGAGCCAGTTCTCCACCAGCTCAGGCTGAGAGTGCTGTACAAAAGTTTAGAGCTACAGGGACAACCCAGTGATCAGCAAATGGGTCACATATGCTCTAATTAACGAGCAGCAGCAATGAACTCCAGCTAAGTCTCCACAGGCATCATGAAAGCAGTGTCTGCACATGCACCAGTGCAATTCAGGAATGTAAATACCTTTCTTCACAAAACTGCAGCTTCCCAGGACAGAATTTGCAACTCAGTAGCTTAAACAAAATTTTAAGGTAATTAATAGTTTTAAAGCACTTTATATCTCGTTTAAGATTAATGAAAACTGAAGGGGAACCAAAAAACCCCAAGCAGAGGAAGGGAATGTAACCTGCTGTCATTGTTGGTTAGAGCTGCCTTGATGTGCACACTGCTTCATGCAGAAAGCAGGTGGCAGCACAAGCACACCAGTTTACAGCTTTGCTTCTGGTGAAGCTCAGGTGAAAACTGCCACCCAATAACATCTGCTGTGTCTGCTCAGCATCAGACAGGAAGAGCTCCCGAGAAGGGGCAAAATACGAAGTCTTCCACAGTCAAAACAGGTATCCTGCAATACAGTTCAGCAGTGCCAAGGCTGGCACCTTAACTAGCTAACTGACATACTGCTAAATCACCACGGAATGTTCTACCAGTGCTTCAGTCCAGGTCACTGAACACTCCAGCTCGTTCCTGGCTGTTATACCTGTGTTACACAGGTCAGAGACATCCTGCTCTGCATGGTGGGAGATCAGTCGTACAGAAGTTGCTAGACAGGTTATGTATGTTCATATCTAGGTCTTAATTTCACACCAGCTTGCCAACAACAAGCATCTGTTCTGCCAAAAACTGCTTATACTGCAAAGAAGCCACTAAAGCCAGACGAAGCAAGTTCTGTTTCTCCATTCTTCTCATGTAGTAATGTATATGCAAGCTGTTTTTCAAGACTTCAGTTTAAAGTGCTAACCTTTGGGCGTTCCTCTTTTTTCAAGGCTACAGCTTCCAGTTTTGCTTCATACTCCGCTTGAACTTGGTCTCTCTTCTTCAACACATTCTATGAGCAAGAGAAAAAGACACCTGTGACAGGGATCCTCTCATTCCTTCCCTCCCCACCCTGCAAGAAATTGCAAAGCTTAAGAGCTAATTCAGACTGAAGTCAGACTTCCATACTTCCTTTGTCCTATTTTACAGTATTTATGGAGTAGCTTTAAAAAACAAAGGGCACTTGCTCTCCAGCAGCTGGCAGGGTCAGATAAAATTCAACTTTTGGACAAGGTGGAAGCATGCAAGATAAAAGCTGGCATATAACCATGAATATAACCCTAAGTAAATTCAATTAATCACTTGAATTATTATTAGCATGAAAAGGAAATAAACAAAAGCATCAAAGCTGTTGCGGACTAGTGCGAAGCTTCCGATATGCTCAAGCAGCAGACACTGTGGGCCAAAAGACAGGAAAAGCCACCACAGAAGGTATTACATCTCCCTTTCCACTTGCAAAGGGAGTCCTTTATAGGACTTCTTGAAGTCCTTTATAGGAAGCTTTTACATCCTTGTGTTAGAACAAAAGAAAGCTTTGCTTTTAGATCAGTTGGCAGTGGGGGAGGTTGGTTCTTGGTTTAGTTAATAATAACTATGAAAAGCACAGTTTACATGAAAAGTACTCAACTACCTACATGAGTTTCCTAAGCAGTAAACATTTTATTGATCATATTCTCAGAACAGAACACAAAATATGATACACTTCCACAAACCAAGATCCCCACTAAGGTTATGATATAGTCTTACAATTTAAAGATAAGCATAGAAATTAACCTCTAAGAATTTACTACTAAAAAAATAAGCAGTTGTGTCAACAAGAGTGGGCAACTTCAGTCCTCACAAGGCAACAACTATTAAATGTTTGATAACTCAGTTGATGCAAAGACATTATTAAAAATGCTTAGATAAAAGTTACTCAACACTCGCTGCTGAGGCACCTGTAAACTTGAACTTGTCTTGCAGCCAACTTAGTCACTTCATACTCTGAGCCTTTCCTTTTGCCACCCAGATGCAATTATCCCATTAGGGCAACAGGAGGTAAGTAATCATTGTAAGTTTCAGACAAGTCTAGTAAAGCAGGACTAACATGCATTGCTGCCTACAGAAATATCTGTTTAAGAGTATTTCTCAGAGCTGTAAGAGCCAATCTAGCCAAGATATGTTTCCTAATTAAAGATGTTGGAACAAGTCCAGAGGAGCCCACGAGGATGATCAGGGGACTGGAGCACCTCCCGTATGAAGACAGGCTGAGGAAGCTGGGGCTGTTCAGCCTGGAGAAGAGAAGGCTGTGTGGAGAACTTATAGCAGCCTTCCAGTATCTGACGGGGGTCTATAGGGATGCTAGGGATGGACTATTCATTAGGGACTGTAGTGATGGAACAAGGGGTAACAGATTAAAACTTAAACAGGGGAAGTTTAGATTGGATATAAGGAGGAAGTTCTTTACTGTAAGGGCGGTGAGGCACTGGAATAGGCTGCCCAGGGAAGTTGTGAATGCTCCATCCCTGGTGGTGTTCAAGGCCAGGTTGGATAGAGCCTTGGGCTGCATGGTTTAGTGGGAGGTACCCCTGCCTGTGGCAGGGGGGTGGAACTAGATGATCTTAAGGTCCTTTCCAACCCTAACTATTCTATGATTCTGTGTACAAAACCGGCATCTACTACTAATCACCACCTTCCCCCTCCTCCCTCTTAAGCCAAGAGAAGGTCACCAGTGCAGTTGCTCTGGAGTAGAGACAGGAGACACTGCAATCAATACCCTCACAAGCCTCAGTCCATGATAAACGGGAGTGGCTGCCCATTCACAAAGCTGCTATTAGTTTAGGAAAGGAAAAAAAAAAAAAGGGGGGGGGGGCAAAACTGAAAAATTCTCCTTAACCCTCCCCTTTTGTCCCTAGAGGGATACAAGCAAGCATGCCACTGGTCGTGTTTGCTTTAAAACCCACAACATTCCTGCTATTTTTTGAATCTAAGCAACTATGTGGAATAGCCCTTAGGTGATTGAGGTTACCAATGCAACAAAACCCTGAGGGATTTAGCAGGCATTTCTACTTTGTATTGCCTCTTGAACCTGAGTCAACTGGAATTTCTTCTGAGAAAAATAACCATCTCTGACAGCAACTGCAGCCTTTAAGAGCCTGCAGACAGTGCAATAAGCTGGAGTGGCCAATGATTAACACAACAGTTATCAGCAGGCTAGATTCAAAAGGCTGGTGTCTTATTTCTCCTTAAATGCTCAAGTCTATCCACTGTGGACCATTAACAGCAAGCTTCTGAATACAGCCTTAAGGATCTGTTAATGGCTGACCTGTAAGTGACAGAAAAATACTGCTTTCCCTTTGTGAAAGGGAGTGTTTCCTCCGACACCTCCAGGCAATCTCTTCTCAGCTGTAGATCAATGCATTAAAGCTTAGCATTCCTCTGAAAAGCTCTGCACCAAGTACCTCCAGACTTAACATAGCCTATGCAAAACTTCTGCTAGCTAATGCCTCAGAGAGAAAAACAAATTTGACAAATAATTGTTAAAAAGTTGGAATAAACCAACACCAAACAGAAAACACACACACATTTCAGCGATTTGGGGGACAGAACTAAACCACTGGTCTCTGCACAAGCAAGGCAACTTGCTTTCAGTGAGGCAGGTCCTTCTCCATTTTGTATTTAATTGAAGCATTTTACCTTGGCCCACATCTCTGAAAGAGCTTCAGGAGTCTGCCATCCTTTCTCAAGCTGCAATCCCATGCCATTTCAGAGCTTCTTACTATGACTAGCCCTCACAGAAAAACCCTTATTTACTGTACTCCTTTAGAGAGACAGTTAGCCATTTATCTGGTGCTTGCTTTAAACATGCATTAGAAGTCTTGTCCAAGCACACAGCTGGGGACTGCATCATCTGATAAGCCTTTCTGGCAATGTTAAGCATTTAGAGTTCATATAACACTTTAATATCAGCACTGAATTATGTATAGTGGAGCTCAACCTCTGCACTTGTCTTCCTGGGGAAGACCAGTGTAACAAAGAACGTGGTACCACGCATTTGCTGACAAGGGCCCCATTGCACCAGGGTTCAAGAAGTCCCCTGGCCGTCTCACATATGGCCCATGTTTTAGACAATATCCTCCTTTAGACACTACCAGCACACATTTAACTGGAGCTCACAATGCCAGCCTCTCCCCATTTCCGTAAATCTTTCAAATGAACCCTGAGATTGGGCCTCCCTGGAGTCAGCCTGTATTTGTCTCACCCAGAAGCTGGTTCTTTGCCCAAGGGAACTGCCTGTGTGCAGTTCTCTTGGGCTGTCCCCCTTAGGTGTAATAGTGCTCTTGAAGACACTAAGGTCTTCAGATTCATCCCCAAAATAGTGGCAGTTCTTACTCAGAGACATTCACTCAGCTAGAGACTGCTCTAGAGATCCAAGTTCCCATACCAATACCTAGGGTACACCATGCAGAGAAAACTATCAAGGTTGCACTGAACTCCTAGTGCCTAAAAAGACTTGCCTTCTATCAAATATCCTTTCCAAAAGCTGTGCCCTGAAAGACCAAAACACTTTAATTTCACAAACAGTCCTTTTAGTAGCTGATGAATAGGACTGCAATGCTAGTGAAGAAGACAGCCCTTTCAGCAGAAAGCCTCTTGCACTCCAAGAATAGCCTTCTTTACAGCGACTCACTTTTATGGTGTCCAGGAAGACAGTTCTGTAGCTGCTTACTGCAGAAATAGCAGCAGACTGCTATTTTCTAGCATAAGAATACTGCACTTCATGACGTGAGATATTTCGCTTTTTGCATTTGGAAGGGAAGGAAAAGAGGAAGAGTCTGCCTTGGCTAGCAATAGCTTTTATTCTTGACTTTCAGACACAGTAAAGCTAATGAAATGCCCAAGGCAGACATTAGGCAGCATAATCCTTATCTGCTATTAACTGCTATTTCACAAGTACAACTGCTATTTTCTATATCCACCCTGTTAGGAAGCATCAACAGGATGAGTGTGTTCAATCTATGACCAGAGAGTAACTGACAAGAGTGAATCCTTTAGCACACTAGAAAGTCAAATCAACACTCTAAAAATTAAGCTAAAAAGCAAGAGTTTCTTCAGCTGAAGAGGTACTTCAGGCAGTTAAACACCACTTTAATGACACAGAGAGGTGTTAAATACTTGCAGCTACACTACCTGTTGGCTTGGAGACTGCACTTAGTGTCTCTGCCATCATCTGACACTAGGGCTTTTAGAATGGGACTATCCCTGTGGTAAGTGGTGTTCAGCTGTCTGAAGTACCTCTTCAGATGAATAAACTGTTGCTTTTTAGCTTAAAAATATTCTTCCCCTGCCACATTTGTGAAAAGCACCTCTCAACTCAGCTTGCCACTTTGGATGTCATCTCCAGTAGGCTGTGATATTTGCACCATCAAAGCCAGGTGTTCTGAGCTAAAAGCTTTAACCATTAGTCTTATGCTCCTTAATTTTTAGTACACATGTGATGACCAGTCCTACAGAATAAGGCTAAATATGAACACCCTGGATCAAGGCTTCCAGCTACAGCTCAGCTGTTCCAGCAATACTTGGGTGTTAATAGTGCTGTAAGGGCAATACACCTTGTTTATACTGGGGCAATACCATGACTACAAATGTAAAGAGTATACTCAGGGTATTAGAGCAAAACTTTCCGCACAAATACTTCAGCCAGAAGACAGGAGCCATACAACTAGGCATCTGAAGGTGGGAAAAGAACTATGCAAGTAAGTGTTTCAATTCTCAGTTTAAGTACAGGAGAATTGAGACAGATGACTACCATGTTCAGACTGTAGATATACAACAGGGTATCAGATCTCTAAAAGAGTGCATATCATGACCTTTTAATGGCTGTTCCAAGAGTAAAATCCTCAGAAGGAATTTTCTGTTAGTTTTCTAAAGGGGGACTGCTAATGCACATTGCTAATACACACTGAACTCTGCACACTCTGTGTGCACTCCGGCATTACTGATCTTAGCTTAACTGAGTAGCAGAGCAGATAAATAATGCTATATGCATTATAATTCTATGCTGCATTATCTATCATGCAACACCCGGCTACTAAACGTACCTGGTTTTGTTTTGATTATTAAAATATCCTCCTAATGAATGTATTCTTTACTTCCCCCTTTTTTCCCCACCATCAACCTCTCTCACTGCTAGAAAGGATGAACTCGCTGATACAACATTCGGTGCGAACACAACTGCTGTGTCTTCTGCCACGGGGCTCCCTTTACCTTCATCGACTCCGAGTACAATATATATTCCCTCAGTACAGGCAGGAAGTCTTCAGTCATGTCTTCACTAAGTTCTTCAAGAGCCGTGCAGCAGTTCCCAATACAGGCAGACACCCCTTCCAGTGGCTCTGATAGCCCAACCTCCAGCCCTCCCCAGGTTGAATAAACAGGTCCATATTCTCGTAGTTCCACCAAGTATTCTGCAAGAGGCAGATGGAAAAGTAGATTAGCAGAGTAAAAGTGAGGCACAAGGATCTGCAAACTCTCACACCAAACAGGAGAAACTACACCAAGCTTAGCAAACATTAACTCCCCAAGGACTCTTGTGTTGCACAACCATCTTAACATACAAGAGTTCTATGGCTGCAGAGTTGACAGGTCCAAGCTGTCTCCGGCTTAACTGACTGTTCCTTCAAGCTTCCAATACAAAAGACACTTGCATCTGTGCAATAGCCAAAGTACTTTTTCTTTTAAATACACATAAAACTTGGCTTTGCTAAGACAGATCTGTAAAGGTTATCTGGGTTTAGGAATTCCATCTGTACTCCATATGGAATCTACAAGTTCTTCCCCCTTCCAAAAGTCTTTCCAAAAATAACTCTAGTAAGAAAGTAGGCTGGTATAACATCAAAAGCTACTTTAAAAGGTACTTAGAGAGCTTTGCTAAGACAAGATACCATGTTAGGATTTGTGCCTGTTTTAAATCTGCAAGAGACATTAGATTTTGCTCTGTATGTGGCTCATTACAGGCCAGAATCATGGACGTAAGTTGACTCAGTCCTGCCATCAACCAGAGCAAGATACACAGCACTGAGACTGAAGCATTATGTTAGAGCACCTTGTATTCCTTACCCAACTGTTCTTTGATAATCCGCTGTGCTATTCTGTCAATGGTACCAAGCTTTAGAGAGAATGTGTCTAAATACTCCCCAATGGCTGCAAACTCCAGTGGTCGACTTCTTAATTTGTAACCTCCTGTTACGTATTTGACAGACTCTCCCATCTTTGACAGCAATGCTATTCCTTGTTTTTTGTAGGCATTAAGATCCTAGGAAGTTTAAAACAAACAAACAACAGTTTAGAAGTATTTTACTTGCATGTTGAAGATTAATACAGTGAAGGACACTTCCCAGTCCCAATCAAATCTTGTGAAGGCAAGACATGTGTGACATGTAGCCTTGAACAAAACCTTACTTTGTACAAGTTGCACAGTTGAGCACAGTTTCAAGTCTCCCTCTGGATGGAGATAAGCTATCCAGGTGAATGGTGTAAAATGCACTATAAATTAGTAAGTGGTCCACCTTTCCACATGGCCAGGTTTTCCCATGTTCCTGTACTGTCCCAAAGGAAGTACCAACATTAACAGCTGTTTCCATGGAGTTCAGACCATTCACCCACACATACTTTAAAGTCATAGCCCACAATACCAGTATTATGCAAATACACCAGCTTGCTCTGATGACCTAGCACAGAACTACATATTGCATGCCTATCTGGTCAGCATTCTCCTCACACCGCTTGTGTGGCCAGATAGGAGGCAGGAGAAGATTGTACACATTAAAAGTGCACCACTAGGCAGATGAGCCCAGCTTTTCTGCAAGCCAGAGTACAGTTCATGCTGGTCACATGTAGCTATGTTTCCTGCACAGAAAGCTTAAACTCCGTTGCCAGCCCTTTAAACACTTGCATAGAATCATTCAGACAACCTATGTTAGCAAGGCTGTTTACCTACAGTCTTCAGGGGATTTCATCTTGAAATCAGGAAAGAAAAAAAAAAAAAAAAAAATGGTTTTAGTCAAAATGCTGTCCTTTTTGCATTTCACTCCTTCCAGCAGGGGTCACTATTCAACATCTCAAAGCAGGCTTAAGACATTTCAATTAGGTTACCCTTTACCGCCTGAGGGAGGTTTTCAAACCAACCAGACCTGCAGAGGTCAAGAATCAAGGCATGATATTATAGACTAGACTAAAAGCTTAAATGGTCTTTAAAAAAGTACAACAGCCATGTTCGAAACATGTACTAGGGTATTCTTTTCAAGTATTTATACGTAAGTCAAATATAGAATCATAGAAGAGTTAGGGTTGGAAAGGACCGTAAGATGGTTTCAACCTTCCTGAAATGGGCAGGGATGCCTCACACATAAATGTGATTAGAAGAACCTGACACCTCAACAGCTACTATACCCAGAGCTGAGAATAAAGCCCTTACCATTAATTTTACAGGGGTGGGAGGAAACAACTAACCAGCTAAGAAAGTTGCATCATGCTTTGACAGCTAAAAAGCAGAACAAAGCTATCTGACATTTAACTGTCAAGGTTCTAAAACTCTGCATTTCTGGCTTGTTTCAGTGGTTAAGTTCATCACAGAGGGGAAATAAAAGGGAACTGAAGGTTGAGCCTCACATTACGAGCACACAGAGCACAAACTAACATTTGAGTTCAAATTGCCACATTTGAGTAAAGTGGCCTAATGTGACATTGGAAAGATGTGCTTTTACAGGTCTCCTCACTTATCAGTCAAACCCCAGCATAACTGTAGGTCCTTCTAATCTTATTTAAAATGCAGATCAAAAGACAGCCAAAGAAAACTGCACTGTTGCTGGATGAGTAACACAGAAGACGAGCATCATGTTGTTGACCGAGAACAAACAAGAATGAGGTGTTCATGCTTAGTTTTGAGAGCAACAAGTGCAAAGAGTATAGAGACACAGACAAGAAAAAAAAGTTAGGAAATTTGCAAACTTTTGTGCAAGAGGCATCTCTTCTTCTTCCCCACTTCCTTTCTCCTAGAAGGACAATTTTACAAAGTCCACAATTTTCTAAATTCTGAACCTCTCAGAGCAGTATGTTCTACACACAAGTATACAAAACAAGCAGGTCTGGAGAACTGAATCTGTACATCTGCTGACCACATCTGCATTCAAGGAAAGGGAACCCCATAGAGTTGTCATGCAGAGGCATCTGTCACACACAATATTCAGGGTCCCCAACAACTCTGATGTTTTAGGGGAAGTTCAGACCTGCACATGTAATTTCATTAATGCCTTTATACCTTCATTTCAAAAGAGACTGTAAAGGTGCCTGTCCTGATGCCCTTGTCAATGACTGTGTTTGAAAATTACTGGCTTACCTTGGCTGTGAGAAACACATTGAAGTGTTCATTGAAAGAAAGCACTGGGTGATCGGTTATTCTCTTCAAGAATTTGTCTAATGCTTTTCTCCTTGTCTCCACAAACTCTTCAGAAAAGCGATCGACAACACCTTTCACCACAAATTTTTCAGGAAGAGGCTGTCAGGGACAAGCAAAATGCACAAGATTCAAAAGACAAAAAACTTGCTTCTGCTATTTGGAAATATACAAAACAGTCAAACTCCAGTCTTAACAGGAACTGCAGTGTTAGCTAACAGGAACCATAACGTCAAATGGTCTGGCCTAATGCTAGCAATTCTACTAAATGGCTTCAACCAAGAGCCACACCAGTGAAGCCCACATAGTGCTCGTGCTAAGTACATCTAGCACAGTTTAGGCTGTTCCTCCCTACTGCTAGCCATATTCAAGCTCCAGCTCTAAAGGAGATACCAGCAGAGCTGCACATTATTTACAACACAAATGCACACCTCTAGTGCTAAAGCAAGGCTACTCAGTCCAGAAACACTCAAAATTTAGCAATTCTACTTGTTCTTTCCCCTCATTCTGAACAACTTAGAGCTCCTGGACAAGGCCCTTCTGCAGAGGGCTGACAGTGATAGCACCACACTGTGCAAAGACAGGCAGGCTTGATATGGCAAGTAGTGCAAGCTGGACCCTTCCTGAAGGACTTGCACACTTCATCATCTATCATAGCCAACATTCCTGAGTATGTTTCTGCAAGTGACAAAGCTCTGCCAACATAACTACTCTTTCATCTTACTCCTGTTTTGACCCCACAAGTTAATTCCTGCAGTTCATCTTAACATGTAAGCCCAAGTCTCCCTCCAGACTTACTAGTTCTGCAGTCCTCCTGTTACTCTTTGACTCCAGACTTCAAATTACCTCTTCAGATGGAAGACAGCTATAAGCTTCAGCATGGTTAGGCTCAGCTTTGCCACTAGATCTGATTTTGTTTTAGCATTAGACAGCATGAGCTCTCAGATTAGTATCAGTTTTAAAATTGTGCTTCGCATTTTACTTTTGTGAAACAGTGCCCAGATAAATTATCTGCTTACTCTTAAGCTAGCAATAACAGCCTTTTTCACCCAGTTCAGGAATCAGGGTTCTTCACTGCAAAGAGTCTGTCACCTGAAATCTGTGACAAAAATAATTCAAAGACCAAACAAAAACATTGTATATGCATATGCCTTTCCCACCATACCCTAGCTGATGTGGGATGTACATGAAGATTGCACCTCCTAAAAAAACACAGCTAGCAGGACTTAGCTGAAACACAGCTACATTTTGACCACTATATTTAGTTCTTAAAATTTAAGACTTACATTATTATGCTTAGCAGAATAAGATATTCAGTCATTCTAGTTAGACCAGTTTTAGGTACACTCTAATTAGACTTCGTTAGAAGAATAACAGTGCGGTAGCCTTCAGGGAAGAAGAAACTTTCTTCTATGCTTTGTAAACTTTAGCTGGGAATGTACACTGGAGAAGTCACTACCGTAGCACCATATGTAGGAGGAGAAGGACAAGGTGGAAGACTGAAGAACCCTAGTTCAACCAAACACATGCAAACTGGCACTGAAGAGTGACTGAAGTTTCAGTATTTGAGACCCACAGAAGAGTGCACCTGTATTAAAGAGGTTTTGCCATTTAACCTGGTTTTAGCTATAGAAGTACAGTCCTTTACTTTTTAGGCCTTTGGAGGCCCATCCCAAACAGTCAATACACACAGCTAGCAACAGAGAATCTGCTTTAAATGCATGTTACTTATCTACTTTATAGTCTACCAGCTTAATAGTCTATTTTTCCCTGCGGCAACTTGCGAGCAGAGTTCACTGCTGTCAGAAATGGCTTCCAGTAGCCAAACATTGCCATCCAATGACAAGATTCATGGCCCTGTTAGGCTTATGTTTCTCATCTAGAGACAGATCTGAGTGCATTTTTACTGTTGTTTGAAAGAATAAACTAGAGTAAGTCTCAAGTAATTTAAAATTTAAAAAGTAAAAACCTGTAACCAAAGAGACAAAAAGGAACCTGTATTCAGTTAGTCTGACATCCTACGTGTAGGACTTAGCATGACTCAATGCATTGAGAAGACACATCATTTGTTACAGGAGATTTTAGGCACTCATTACACCAACTGCCTTTAGTTTGTAATCCCCATCTACTTCTAGCCAATAAAATACTTAAAGGATTCAGCAATCTCCCCACCATACCACTGCATGGAAGAGATTAATAGGAGATTCTGTAACTGCCAACTTGTGCATAGACAAATAAAAGAGAACAGTGCATGCTTACGCTTCCAGATTTTCTAGAAGGGAAGCACTTAAGAGATTGCCTTGCTCTGATCCAGTTTCATGTCCAGCATTGGAGATACTTGTGCCAAATTTCTCATTCTGTGAGCAACAAATAACAGTTTGATTCCCTGGCTGTGACTCACCTTCTTCTACTAGACTTTTATTTATTGCCTTTTAGGCCTTCAGGCAGGAGTGGCAGCCTTTTAGGATGTATACTCAGGAATCTGCAGCTTAACCTCAATAGTTCCAGCTCTTCACAGAAAAGACAGGGAGAAAAGAGGGTCTGGAGAGCTAACACATTAATCTCATATCCCCACCTTACCCCTGTAAGCTCATTGTCTCTCCTCTTCTCCCTATCCCTCAGTAAATATATTTGCTGCCAGCTCATGGTGTCACATGATTCTGGGAATTATTTTTTATCTTTGAGAGACTGAGCTATTATTCCACTTAGAGGCAAGTCCCAGTGTAATTAAGGACTTAAATAGCTCTCTACCCTGGAACAGCATAACTGAATACCTCTCACACAGCATAGTCCTTGCTGAGAGAGAGAGAGAGAGCAGATACACTTTCCCCCAAACCCAGATGGGCAAGCTAACGTATGCTAGCAGTATTGTCATTTCCTGACAATTCACCTCCTCCAGCCCTTTCTGAATTTCTTCATTTAAAAGAGCTGACAGTGGTGATCTTCTACAGCATGAAAAACAGGCTGCTGAAGATCAGTATCAACCTTCTATGACATAAGGTAGTCAGACTGCCAGCTTCAGCAACAAGAAGGGGTGCAGCAATTTAGCTAATAAGATTAACTAAATTTCTGCCTACAGAAGATATGCAATAGCTATCAAGCCGGAAGCTAAGATTTGCAAGTCTGTGCTATTACGTGTTAGCACAAATAGTTTTAAAAAATACTCTTTAAAACCAGCTCAAAAGCGCACCTTGAAAACTGAGACTAGGACCTGAAGTACCTGTGTGGCTTTTCATAAGCCTCAGATACTCAGAAATCTACGCATAATAATTGAGCCAGCAGATGAAGAATATTCCATTTTTGCCACAACAAATGTCATCACCATGCATACTGTGCTAAAGGAGGCTGCCAAAGTTCACCTCTTAGGTGTACCACCCAAGTCAAAGCTTTATTATCAGTCAAGAATGGGGAAGCTCTTCCCACTTCACTAGAAGTAAATGAATTACTGTATTTAAAATCTAAATACTAGAAGATAATTGAGTACTGTATTTAGACCTGAAGTGAGACATCATCAAAATATCACCCTTGGAAGACAGATACAGAACTGCCCTTAATATCAGATTCTTGCTTACTACCTACGGGAATGAGATGCGTTGGCTGTGACTCTTCCAGCTTGTTTCTCAACCAGTCAAAGTCTTGGTATCGCCGGCGGACAGAATACTCCGGCAAATCAAATTCTGCTCGTGTGGTCTGGAAAAGAATAAACTCAGGATAAACTTAGCATGCACCAAAACCTCTTGCTTCAGAGCTTAGCTGCAAACGTACAGCCGTCACTGGCAAGGGCTAGGCCAGACAAGCTTTGCATAGGGGCTCAACGCCCTAAGTACTGTTTGTAGCCAGCATGAGAGAAAGATCCCCTGGCTTTTCAGGCAGTGGAAAGCCAGCAATAACATAAATGATTATTTGGAGCTGATGTGCCCCTAGAATTCTATTTGCACTTCATTACATGTTCTGCTCAGATAAACTTTATGGGAAGAGTCTGTAGAGAGGAGAGTACTGTGCACCATATTAATACCTTGGCAGTTACAAACTTGTGGGGAAGACTGTATGAAATCTTCATTGCAAGGATACGACTATTTCAGCTACCAAGAATTAAACACAAAGATATTTAATGACTTGTTTATTCTATGATACGCATTAACCATGGGTGATAAAATGCTTCACCACTGCCCTGTATCTCCAAAGTGACAGGCTTATTACACTCCTTTGAGGCTAAAAGTTTAGAACATAAGCCGTTACTAAGCTTGCCATGGACTGTTTCTGTTGATTTCTTCAAGGAAGAAATGAGCTTATTTATATCAAGCTTGTGCATGCCTGATTAGAGATATCAGTACATTAAGTTAAATTTTTAAAGTTTTAATTCCATAGGGCAAGCAGTTAAACTTGACATTGTAAGTTTGAGATGGAACGTAAGCATGCAGAGAAACTGCTTCAAATGTTTGATCCAGTCCTCACACAGTCCATACCCTGGCTTCATGGGGTTGCCTACATGGGGCTGCCTGCAAGCGCTAATAAAACTGAGCCAATGAGGAGTCTCTGCTAAAGAGACCGTTGTTCTGATAGCTCTCATTGGAAGGTAAATGCCCCTTATTATGTCCCACTGAGAAGCACAGATCACACAGAGACCTTCTTCATCCTTAACCCAGAGCTACACTCAGTTACCTACAGCACCAAGACCATCTTGCAATGAAGGCAATGCTGCTGAGCCAGCACACTATATGTACAGCTCGACATCAAACCCACTGTATTCTCGGGAATGCACCAGCTCCCCTAACTCTGAACTGGCACTGAGTCCAGCACTAAGTTGCTTTGCTACTCCTAGCCACTACAATCGCCTGCTAAATTCCAGCAGAGATTTTGTATTTACTTTCAGACTGACAGCAACTGCCACATATTTGGAGAAAGCCAAATAGCAGCCTTTAAGTGCAATCCACCCCTTCACTCCCTGGCGGGGTGGTTCCAGCTCTTTAGTTACTGCACATTACTCCCACCAATCTCCCCACTAGGGAACCTTTATAGGTTCTATGCCAGAAACTTCTTTTTCGGGGGGTGCCAGCAAGCTTAACACACTGTCAACATACCAACAGCCCTAGTAAACTATAAACAGCACGCCAATGTGTTATTATTACCTGTTAAATGGTGTGGTTTCTAGAAAAGGAAGGCACAGAGAGGCATAAAAGAAAAAAATCAAGTACACCTCCTCCTTTGACCTGCTAGCTATGTCAAGAGATATATGTGTTAGTCCACAGACTAACCAATGGAGCAGTTGTGTTTGTACATGGGGGACTACCAACACCTAGATAGTCAGTGCAGATTTGTACTTTACTCAGCTATACCTCAGAGTAACACCAGCTTATTTAACATGTTAAGAATGCCACACTATAAATGAAACTTCTGAGGCTTCATATGAACCATTTTCAGTTGTTTTGATTAGGATACTGAATGGCATTATGCTAGAACAATTCACAGCCTGGGGCATACTGCAAGTCTTCCCCCCCCCCCCCTTTTTTTCCCCCGTTACAGTGAAGAACCTTTCTAAAGAAAGAAAAAAAACGCACATCACAAAAACAAGACTGTGGTCAGGTTACATTGTTCCCTACAGTGGTGTTTAGTCACAGCCACAAGCACACATTACAGCACTAGCAATTACATTTCCCTCTTCCACCTATTGATGCTGCTTTTCACAGCAGTGAAGTCTTCAGCATAACTCATTCCAGGATCTAAGTTTATCCAAACCTTTAAGGTTCCAGTAGCATTCCTCAGTGGAGAAAAAGCAGTCATTCGTGCCTCCTCATCCAGAGCCACCAAAGAGACCTCTTACAGGTTTCAAATCCCTGTCACACAAGGCTACAAGGGAGGTCGTAGGAAGGTATGGCTTTACACTGAGTGGCAAGGGAGCTCCTTACAGAAGGAAGGTCTGCTACAGAACTCTGACCTACAATCTGAAGATGCAAGCATCGCCACTCATCCTCACTGCTGTCTAGGATTACTGCTGCACAGCTTTTTTGCTACATTTAATTACTGCTTTCAGCTGCAGTGGCTGATTGGGCAATTAGCTTGGCACCAAAGAGGCCTTGTTTGTATGGCAAGAATGAGTCAGACCATTAATATTGTTAGCCTTCTAAACAGCCTTTTTTTTTTTAAAAAAAAAAAAAAAAAACAACTGGCACTAGAACTGCTGACCCCAGAGGTTAGCCAGGAGTTTACAAAAATAACAGAGAAGTGGGGCTCTCATGGTGCCTGCTAACAATAAATTATACACTGCCTCACAACAGTACTGTAATACTATGATATCACAGACTTATGTGCTATAATGAGATCCCTAAAGAAGTACTAACAGGCAGGTAGATATGCAAAAGATATAAGTACAGGATGAGGGGATTTTTTTTACTGTTGGGTAATAAAGCTGATCTAAATACAGTAAATACCCACTCTCCAGAGTTCTGCTTTAAAAAGGGAACCCTTGCATCATCACAGGTTTCCAAACATAGGAACATTATTAGGGTATCAGTGTGTAAAAATATTGTAACAGATTAATTGGGTCTTAAATTAAGGGAAAAGCAATTTCAGCCAATTTGCCTGTGAAAAATTCAATTGCATTTTGTGCCTCCTATTCCTTCTGATCATGTAACAGCTGAAGGCTGACTTTCTACCAGTATAAAAGTTTCCTTCAATACTTCTTAGCATTTTCTAGCACTCTAGATAAAACACTTCTTTCAAGATTAAGACACTTAAAGCAACAAAGAATGACAGGCCAATGTTAAGCGTGCAGTAAGAGGTAGCTACAATTTTATGGAAATCATTTTCTCTAAAGTAGAACTTGGGGAAAAAAAGATAAAAATAAAAGTTATCTGTGGCTTGTAAAACTTTCCTTCTCTCAAAGAAAAAAGCATTCTCTCCAGTATACAGTGCCACCTAATTAGGCTAGAGGCATGTTGAACTATTGGGACAAGTGGATGAAGTATATTCCTACCAAAGTTAGTGAACTCTTTCTGCCTTAGTTAACTACAAATGCCCAAAATAGGTGTCAATGTCACCTAGGAGATGATGTTGATGAGAATGAACTAGTTAACAGAAACTAATGTTCCAGCTGTGAGCATGGACTTCTCAGATCACTTTTCCTATTAGTGTAATGAAATTGCATTAATGAGTGAACTACAACACATGTTGAAAATAAACTCTAGCATATTTCTTTTGGTAGACAGTAGCATTCGTAGGCTACTTAGTTTTAGCAGCAGCTGTACAGCCTTCTGTACCAACAACTGCAAAGAAACTAGTTTACAATTTAGGATCAAGATTATGATTTAGGTAAGTGGCAGATAGAGGAAGCATGGTAAACACTTAAAACAAGCAGCTTAAAGCATTTCAGAGAAGGGTAGACACAAAATGTGAGATGATTAACAGTGAATCAACAAGGCACATTTCCCTTCAAGGGAGGTAACTCGAACCAGTTGAGTGTCAGATTACTTTATATGAATTTACAAGTTAGTGAAAGGAACTGGCCTTGCAAGTTTACAAATAGTTCTGTTTAAGAGTCAGACACAAAAATCTAAGTTGACACATTAAAAGTTTTGCATAGCTTCGTATACTGAAGTAGTTCACATTTCTGCTATGGCAAATCATAGCTGCAATACGTTCACAAGGCACTAAAAGACACTCAGTTCTTGTCCTTAACACAAAGAAACACAATGCAAGGGACATCCAGAAAATGTCCTAGAAACACTGCCCCAGAGAATAAAGTACTAGAAAAGGGGAATGTTGCTTTGTACCTTTGTTGTAACCCTGTATGTGATATATGTCTCCATGGTGCACACATGTTTTTTGGGATCATCAACAGTAACAAAGAGGTCTCTAGTTTCTGCATCCAAGTCATCATCCAGCTGCAGTCTGTTGAGGAGAGATGAGGAGGAGGCTGGGCTAGAAGTGTCCACAGGTGTACCATTGGGTAGACTGAGATCCTGCATCAGAGAGAAAAAAAAAACCGCAGGTTTTTAATAAATGAACTGATTCACTGTAAAGCACAGTATTTTCAAAGATGCTACTGACAAGCTTCACTAATATTTATTTATCAGGGCTACCTATTTCAGCACCTCCAAGGATCATCCTGTTCCAGGACACCTGGTCAATCCTCTAAGGTCTGGGCTTTGAGTATTAGGTTGTTCGGCTGGTCCTCAAGTATAAGAGAAAGCACGTTACCACCATACATCCCCCTAATACACCACAAACTAGTTTCTGTTCATGACGAAGCAGAAGTATAGCTGAACCAACAGTTCCTGCTGAGACTGAACAAACTTAAGACTCTGAAAACAAAACAGCAAGGCAAATCAAGAGACCTACTTATAAAACAGGCTGCTGGCATAGTGGCAACAGTTCAGTCATCTGGAATACAGCCTCCACTGCTGGACACTGCGATAGTAGAGGAAGAAGGATACTTACCTTGTCAAAGGCATTCAGTCTATCAACTTTTAAAGATGTTGACAGAAGTCAGACTGAATTGCCATCACTGCACTACAGGATAGTCACAGATCATACACTCCAGCATCAGTGTGTATGAACATCTCCCTTTTGGAATCCTAAGACTAACTGAAACACTGTTTTGCTTGGAGAGGTGCTCATTCCCACCCTTCCAAGTCCAAGACTGTCATCCAGTGCCTAGGGAAGACAGAGGCTAAAAGAACCAGCAAGTGGCTATTTTAGGAAGAGACACACACAAGGGTTTGGAAAGCCTCTAATTCTTTGAAACTGACTCAGCAGCAGGAAAAAAAAAAAAAAAAAAGCAAACAACAAATCAAACACTTTATAGCCAAGTTGGTACATTCCCACACCTTCCAGTCTCACACTTTGATCTAGACCAACTACTCGACACAGCTACTGATTACTCCACTTTCCATAAACATCACAGCAACTTCGTATGTGTTCTCTGGTGTCATAGCAGAGGGAGCTGACACCATGTGACAAGGTGTACAGCATGTACGAACATCTGACAACAGTATTAGAAAGTCCCAAGATCCATGGCTCTTCTTGTCATAGAAGAGAAGAGTTTTGTGTGTTTGCTTAACTAGCAGCACAAGAACATATTTATCCACAGAATGTTTCCCTTGTAAGGACAAAGGCTACTCTGCCAGACAAAGAAAAATCACTACAGCTAAGTAGCATGTTAGTTAGAAGTGGCTTAGTTTTGGAATTTCTGCTTAGCCCCAACTTCACATGGTCTTTAAATGGCTAGATGAAACGTGTAATCTTAGCAAAGTAATCCTGTTTAGCTAAGATCCTCTTTGTCCATCAGTGTTCCTTATGCAATTGTAGTTTTTGTTCCAGCTGCACATGGGTAGACCCTGTCTTCACAAGAAGTCCTCCTTTGTTCACAGATTCAGAATTACAGGTGAAAGCTTCAAGTTAAAGCTACTCTGCCTTTGACAATGGTTAAGGACAAGGCTGAGTTCCTACAGTTTTCATCACAAACACAACATGGGAGTACTGGGATTTCATAGACAGCCCTGTTGCAATCCTGCAGAATTGTGGTAGTATTGCTTCACTTTGAAGACTGCCTTATGAAGCGGGAGAATAATAAGTCTTTAGCCTAAACATTTTGGGAAAGCTATGATCTAATATGATCTAAATATCTACTAACAGGTCAAATGCATTCTCCCAGCTAATGCCCAGAAGTGGCTGCCAACAAATGAGAGATTTCAGATTTAAATGGCAAGTGAGCAAGAAATAGAAGGTAGGCACTCAAGTGCTCTCTTCAGAGGGCAAAGAAACAGGATGGGAATGGCACAGCTTGCCAGCTCATAGATGAGGAAGACAGCTTGAAATACAAAAGCATCTGGCTCAGACTTAACATATCAGGAGCATGTACAGCAGGAAGAAGCAATGCTACAATTTCTCAGCAGATAAGGAGTTCTGTTGGAGTTACACAGAATAAGCAGAAGACAGGATAAGATTAGCAACAGGAGATGGCTTCAGAAAATGTGCAGTTCAGCTAGACAGGGGGATTTGGCTGAGCAGAGTAAAAAGCAAAGCAAACCCTGGGACGCTGCAGAAGCTGTAGACAAATCCGTTCCTGTTTCCAAAAGGAAAAGACAGATCATCATTGCCCATGTGCAATAAGCATTAGTATAAGACAAGTTGTGCCAGAAATGCAGCCAGTCAAATTCTAAGCTTCCAGTATGGAAATAAATTAACTTGCAGAAACAGCTTAAGCCTGGTCACACAGGAGATCTGAAAAACTTGTAACAAAACCTTCCAAAAGAGATTTTAAAGACTATGATGGAATCTGCTTAAAATCTGAAAACTCTGTATCATCTGGAGGAAGGACCAAAGACGGAGCTTGCAGCCACCAGCATAAAGTTAGCTACTTTCCTCACCGACTCAGATGATAGATTAACAATATCATACTAGCATGTCTTGCAGTTTTAAAGAAGGGCAGAGATTTATGAAGGCTGGAATCTGCTTCAATCTATTTGAGTGTGTTCTAGCAGAGGTTTGTGAAGGCTGGAATCCACTTCAACCTGAGTGTGTTCTAGCAGTCATGGGTCCTGTGGAATTCCTGTGGAATGTCTCAGCCCTTAAAACAAAGGCTATAACAGTTTTTTACCTCATTTGAGCCTTGGATATAATACCCCAAACCTAGATCAAGTGAAGCTCCTGGACAAACTCAGGCAAGGCGCAGGAGGTCTGCTAGCTGGGTGGGGGGGAAGGACAGAGGATGTATACATTGAAAGTAGTACTGCGCTATACTGTCTCATCTGTGATGGCAGAACCCTTACCTGGCATCACGCCTTGCTACTTGTCTTGTTTTGAGTAGTTGAAGGCCAAGTTAGAAGCTAACTATGTGTCCTTCTTTATGAGTGGAGCCTCCTACCTAGCCACGCAAGGAACAATGCTTGTGACTCCTGTACCTTCATTTAGCAGCAGGCAGAATCCATTTGCTGAAGTCTTTCCTATTACTAGAAAAAAGTAGGCTTTGAAGTGTCACAGCAGATGGCCTAGCAATTGTAGTTGTTTCGGGCTGTAATCCTTTCAGCAGAGCACCTCCTAATCATGTTAACTGGTCCTGGCTTTCTTCTATGGGACTTGGGGGATTTTTTTCAGTGGCAAAACAAGACTGCATCATCTTATTCTAGTCTGCTTTTGCCATAGAAAGAGGAGAATGTCCTGTAGAGCCTAGCAGGAAGGACAACTGTAGCCATTTGCATTTCTACCTGTTAGTGTAGCTACATACCCACAAGCATTTGAAGTACTAACTAGTATTGCTTGCGTTGTATAAGAGTCTGACTTCAGTGCCAGAGATTCATGCATCAGCTTCACCTTTAGTGCATCAAGCATCTGCTCATGCACTGTCGTTAAGCACCTATCTGGATTATTAGATATCAGCACAGTGCAACTTCCAGCAGGTACCTACTGCTCACAAAGCTCTTCACACAAGAAAAAAAAAAACAAACCTGTTTGTCACAGCCTGTTTCTCTCAGAATATGCCATGAACCTGAGCAGTCCCATAGCAGGGAGGAGGGGAGGCTGCTTCTGGCAGCCAGGCAGATAGAACAGAGAACAAGTTCTGTCAAGACATTCTTCGAGTCTTAGAGAGTATCCATGAAGACTTCCTAAAGTTTCACAGCTATTTCTAAACGAAAGAGCAAAAATCCTTAGCCTCTGTCCCTCACCTCCTCAGGCCAGTCTCAAAGCTTTGTCACCAGCTTATGAAGCAGGACAGGTGAAGTTCTAGCACAGTCAGTATCACAAGCCATAGCAGAAGCAACACAACATTCAGACCTCCAGGTTCATGATCTAACGGTTAAATACTAGGCTTCTGTGCACAGTTGTACAGCCACCTATAGACAGACTCCATGCATTCCTATGGGTTTTGCAGGATTCCTTAAGACACCCAAATTTATGGGTACATGAGATCAGATGACTCAAGCAGCACATGTCTGGTACCTTACAGCACAGGGCAGCTAGGAACTAACTGCCTATGTTGGAAATGCATAAGCCCTGCCAACTATGCAGGCTGCTATCTGGTGAAGAAGCAGCTTCATATTCTTTTGTTGTATATGCAGTCCAAACACCTTGACTAGTTAGCTTACCCAGCAACAGATACTAAGCCTATCAAGAAGTTCACTTCATTCCAGTTTAAAATTCATCTTAATTTTATAAACTAGAAGTCTACATGCGAGATGCAAAATGAGTTAGGAACTTTCCAGCTGATGTCACCTTCTCCCTCCTTCAATCTCTCAGGAGATTTTTCCAAGACTTTGGATTTGAGGAGCATCTTGGATCCACATAAAGTAAAACCTCAGGAGCTTGGCATTCAGTCTTCTGGATAGCCACCTCCTCTAGTGCTTTCACAGCAGAGAAAGCATCCAGGATTCAATCCTTCAAAGCTAAAAACAGTTCTAAAATTCTATAGGCATTGGTTTATTGTCAAGTGAAGATCAGGCAATCTCCTGCTGAGTTACAAGCAGCTAGACAATACTTCAGCTTCTACAATTAGAATGTTTTCACCTATCCTGCCTTAGCAAGCATACAGCTTAACCAGGCAGCTTTGATGTCTAAGCAGCAGTCCATGCAGTGGAAGAGGTGGTTCAGCTGAGACTCACAGGCACAGATAAACTCATTTCTGTGAAGGGTCAGCCTGAAACCACCTGGTGTTGCAAGCACAAAGCTCTCATTCAACAAGTATTAGGTGACAGTAAGAGACATTAAGCAATACTGCTGTTCAGAGGCAAGTGGAGCACTTAACCCCAAATATCTGTGCCTACCTCGAGGACCTTACAGCCAGGCCCACACTACTACAGCCTCACTGCTTCCCTTCTGAAATTCAGAGTGCTGTACCATTCCTCTTGTGTTTCAAGGCATTCTGTTGCTTTCTGCCATCCATTTCCCAGAGATACACAACCACAGATACAGTCATGTTGAGGGGACAATGATTCCACACAATGATTGCAGCTGACACAGCTAA